AACCACTGGATCCTCAAAGTGTAGCAAGTGTTGTCCAATATGGAACGTTTAACTCAGGCAGAAATAATCAAGCTACAGGCAATTCCTTTGTTTACAGCCAACAATATACTTATGAAGGCCTCAAAAGCTACACTTCTGGAATTATACATTGTGTTCTTGTCACAGGTACACATAATCCATCTGTTTTGTTGCTAGAGCTATCCACTTTTTAGGCTCTTCAAGTGTTTGTTCGGTTTTCAATCAAAAGTTCCTCTGTAGTCTATTCTGTTCTGTTTATTTTGTTGTCTATACCTCAGGAAGCATTGAGGTCTTTACTGGATTCTCATCCATAGCCGTTTTTTGCAGTTTGCATTACCGTAGTTTCTACTTTCCAACCCACTAATGTGAATTATGTCGATATATAGAGAGAGATCAAAGCACTTCTAAAGAATTATATATAGTAGGGCACCTATTCCTCATGACTAAATGATTGATCATAAAAAATTGAACTATGGAATATTGTTGATTTGTTCTTTGGACTGTATTTACTAATTTTTCTTTCACAAGTTTTCTTGTTGCACTAGCATATTCATTGATTCAAGATTATTATGCTTGAATATTCGACGATAAACAAATAATGTCAGCCTATATCTGGCTTAATGCTCTATTAGTCAATCAAAAACACATATTTTTCCTTCTTGATGGTTTCAGTTACAACAACATTTTGGTTCATTTGGGTTCATACTCAGACTTAAACTTCTACCCAGTTTTCCATGAATCTAAGTTGAATTTCAAGATAATTATGTACAATTTGGTGAGAGGTGATGTAGTTTTCTCAAAGACAAGCAATACAAAGAACTTCTTACCTAAAAGTAAATATCTGCTTAAAACTAAACAAACAAATTCTAACATAATATTTGTCCTTCATGCATGGAGGGGAGGGAGATGTTTGCATTTTGGGTGCACTTGAACGCACATAATCTTGAATTTTTCAGTTGTTATCACATTTAATATCATGTCTTTCCGCAGGGTTGGATCCTGATACTCTGTATGAATATCAATGCGGAGATCCTTCTAAACAAGCAATGAGTGATGTTCATTATTTCAGAACAATGCCTTCCCAGCCTGGGGACTACCCAAACAGAGTAGCTGTGGTTGGAGACCTGGGTCTGACTTATAATACGAGTACAACAATTAATCACATGCTAGCCAACCATCCAGATCTTGCTTTGTTGGTTGGGGATCTAAGTTTTGCTGACTTATATCTTACAAATGGGACTTTGTCTGACTGCAGCTCTTGTTCATTTCCTGAAACTCCTTTCCAAGAAACATATCAGCCTCGTTGGGACTACTGGGGAAGGTCAAACTTCAATATCTTACCTGATAACCTACTATTATCTTCAATTATCCAGTCAACTTGAAAATTTTTGAATGAGCAATTTGTAACAGTAGTTTATAAAAGGTGAAGTATTACGAAATGGCAAAGATGAGTGGTATGGTCCTTCTAATCAGACAAATAGCAAAATTGCTTGAAACTTAACTCAAAATTGCAAAGCTGTATTATCAAATCTCTAATGTAGTTGTGTTGAAGTGAACCTGCTTTAAGCCTGATGTAGAAAACATGTGGTAGGCATGGATCTTGAGTTAAGTTTTTTTCCTCTTTGGGAGAACTTTTTTTGTTATTTTTTTTATTTTTCAAATTCTATGGTTCTCTTTGAATTTACAAATGCAAAGGGCCTGATGTATTGGATATAGAATCAGAAATGAAAGTGAAATATTTGTTGGCAGGTTTATGCAGATTCTAACAGCTAGTGTTCCAACAATGGTGATAGAAGGGGACCATGAGATCGAAAAACAGGCTGATAATCAGACATTCACTGCTTACAGTTCTCGATTCGCATTTCCCTCTGAAGAAAGTGGGTCATCATCCGCATTGTACTATTCTTTTAATGCTGGTGGAATACATTTTGTGATGCTCGGTGCATATGTCTCCTATGATAAATCATGTAAAGTCATTAATTCACCCTTTTTCCTTATTTTCCTTTCTTATTTTGTATATGGTCTTTTCTTCTTGTGAATTTGGTTTATGCATGCATCTAACTCATTCTTTTCCCGGTAAGGAATAATGATTATTATTTATCTCTCCACCAATCATGTTTACTTACCTCATAATGAGACTATCTTGCTCTCTGGATTGCAGCTGATCAGTATAACTGGCTTGAAAGAGACCTGAGTAATGTCAATCGAAGTGTGACACCATGGCTGGTAGCTGCTTGGCATCCTCCCTGGTACAGCACCTACAAGGAACATTACAGAGAAGCAGAGTGTATGAGAGTGGAAATGGAAGACTTACTATATGAATATCGTGTCGACCTTGTTTTCAATGGACATGTAAGAGCATTTTACCATGTCTGTGATAGGCCATGATTTACTATTGCTACAAACAATAGTATTACATTGTTTTTGAATTAATCAAAATTTCTTTGATTTCGCATATTAGGGGTACCAGACAAAAGGAATTCTTTTTCCTTGTCTGGACAGCTACCGACTTTAACATGGTAATATCAGAACTGTCCTTGTTAGCATGGATACTTACATGTTCTTTGCTTCTCAAATCAGAGTCAAAGTAATGCTCAAAATGTAGTAGTGTGGATATGCATGTAATCAGGAGATAAAACCATTAAGGCTAATGGAGTGTTTAATTAATAACTTTAAGGTGCCCATTAAAATATTCCATCCCAGCTGAACATGGAAGGAAGAAAGTACTGTTCTGCTAATGTTGACATGATATCTTTTCCTTATAGAACAAGAACAGGCCTAGTTAGAGAAATATGTAGGGTACACTATTGCTTAGTTCTTATTCCTCACTTATCTGTTTCATGCTTTAAATAGTGTTCTATTGCCAATGAAATAAATTGAGAAGAAATTTTCCCACAATGAATCAGGTTAATGCCTATGAGAGGTCAAACCGAGTATACAACTACACTCTGGATCCATGTGGTCCTGTTTATATCACAGTTGGTAGTGGTGGAAATGAAAAGAAATTGACACTTGAGCATGCTGAAGAACCTGGTAATTGTCCAGATCCCTCTACCACCCCAGACAGATTTATGGGTGGCTTCTGTGCATTCAATTTTACATCAGGCCAGGCAACTGGTAATTTCTGTTGGAACGAACAGCCTGATTATAGTGCATATAGAGACACTAGCTTTGGCTATGGGCTTCTTGAGGTACAACACACTGTCTCTCTCATTTTCTTACGGACACAGATCTAATGCACATGAAATTACATGTGAGCTAGCACACATTGCCATGCAATGTCATTTACAACTAATCATTGGAAAAGGACACAAAGATCGGAATATTAAGATGTCAATGGCACTTTAATCTTGCATCTTGAATTGGCAAAATAGTTAGCAAGATTTACCAAATAGGAAGTATTTTACCGCTTTTTTTTTTTTTGTTTCAAAAGAGCCTACAAAGGTGGAACACCAGCATTGAAATTTCAGTTTGCTCACCACTTCATTTTTTTTGCTGGACACTAAGGATTTCTTATTTAGTACATTCTAACAGAGTTTCATGTAGCCAATTAAATTCTAGCTAGCATTCAATTTTACTAGAGAAACCCTAGCTGTAATCTACCAAGGAATTAGCTATATCCAGTGTGAATTAAACTATGTAGAAACATCTACAGAAGTTATTCACTTTCTGAATAGTCATATAAGAGTGCAAACTGATGGGTAGTGTTTTGACTGTCTTACAGGTGAAAAATGAGACTCATGCCTTGTGGACTTGGTACCGTAATCAGGACCGCTACTACGAATCTGGGGATGTGATTTACATAGTAAGGGAGCCTGATCGATGCTCAGTTGAGCCAAAGGTGATTAAGCTTTTGACGGCTGAAAGTAAAGAAATTGAAACTGAAAAGTGGCATAACTTTAAATCTCCAAACCTTTGCAGTCATAACCTCAAAATGAGAAAATAGAATTGCATGGAACATTTGTCTCTTAAATGCATGTAAAAATCAATGAATGAGCAAGAAAGAATGGCTACATGATGCAAATATAAACAAAAAAGGTCCACTCCAAAGGACAAATTGTGGCTTTATTTAGGAGGTCAAAAATGATGTTAGTATCTTATTAATAAAACTGAGGTGGGTGTGATTACTTGCTGCACACACAACTGAATATAGGTAATGTTAGCCAAACCTTTTAAAAACCCTGAAAAGAGAAACGTTCCTTTGTGATTAGCTAATTGCCATAACTGTTATTATCATTTTAGTAAAGAATTTCTTTGCAACTGTTACCATGCAGCCTTTTTCAAATCTATGCCACTTATCAAGGTTTATGAATTATGAATTTACGATGATATTTAGTTAATGCAGATTATACTTAATAAACAATTATAATTTTTTTTTTATGTTTTTACCTTTATTTCCCCTGATGGTCTGCCCCTTCCCGGATTTTTTCTTGCTTATTTATTACAGGTTTTTATCTGTGATGTACTCAGGTTTAGAAGTCTCAGACTCATTCAAGGAGAAAAGTAACTGATTGAGATGCAAACCGTTCAGAAAAAGGCTTACGGTACCATGACCTCCACCAGTCTTTATCTCTGATTTACATAGTTCTATGTCTAGACTAGTTCAAAATCATTCTTTAATCTTTATTATTTATGATGCATTCATATGTACTTGAGGAAGATTAGGGGTTTATCCATACAAGTTCGTATTCTTCAGAGGCTTATGTATACGATTATAAGCATCATTAGTTAGGCAGAAAACAGATGGTGTCACCAGCATCCGCAGGTCATTCTAATTGTATTGCTAAATTACTGGTTAGCATAGTTTATGAGGAAAAAACGGTTTTGCTACAATATTGTGCATTTTAGTTTCTATACTGGGTTAATATCACCCTTTGATGTGCCATTTTCCTCATAAATTTGCATGTTAGCATAAAAAGAACTTCATCTCGATATATCCAGATCCACTGTTGCCAACAAACCAGAGGTGATCAAACCTAGAATCATCAAAGGAAAAATCCATAGATGCATAGCTGTTTGATTACCCCTTCTCATTCATATATACGCCAGGAAACATACAAGAATAATATTGAAATATTGAATTGATTTTGTGAGAGCTAAGAAGATTGGAACCTAATAGAGATCTTTGCTAGTGCTAGTTCTAGCTCCTCGCAACTCATGAAGCTAGATGAGATCTCTAGATTTAACCAATGTGAAGCCAGCAAATGTCCAGAAAAGTAGACAGAAGGAAATGATTGAAATCATCGGGGGCTGTTCCATATTAGCTAGAAAGAAGGCTCCAAATTCTAACAAAAACGCCTCTTCCCGTCACTGGGTCATGCAGCTGGGTTTAAGAGATCCACATGGGGTGCAAAATGAATGATAGAACAAGTAACAGCATGACAGACATTGAGCTTGTGGCAACGATAGAATCCAATGAAGCTTTAGATTCATCTGTTGTGGGTACCGGAGGGGTCAGTCCAGGGTTATTTAGTCCAGTACTGCCACCACCATTGATTGGTGTAGTTGTCAATGGTGTCATTGGTACATTTGGATTGTTTGTCACTGTTGCTGGTGGCGTTGGCACTGGCATCCCTCCAGCTGTGCTGGAAATTTCAGAATTTAAGCTGTTAAATCGCAGAAGTAGCAGAGACAAGGACTAAAAATAATCACAAAGCAAAACATAAGCGTTGTAACTTTTGTAAGAATCAGCAGATAAACTTTAATCAAGCTAACATAAACCAATTTGGTTAGTATTGTTGAAAATCCAAAACTGTTAAAGATCAAATTAGAGTTTAGGACAAGTGTGCTTGCCTAGCTAGATGGAATAAACCCAAGCAAAGTTATGGTAAACAACAAAACAAGACTAGCTCAACCAAAATTAAGATGGAACAGGATGCTTGGGAAACTGTTTTAATCAAAGTCCTGTCATAAGCCAAGGCAGATGGGCTATATGTTTTGGGTAGTTTAAGTGCTTTGACTAGTCTAAAATTATGCGCAAGTAATGGTCCTAAGACAGGACCATGCTAGAGGGAAAAAGAATTGCAGACTATGTTTCTGCTTCACTCACCATAAAGAAAAACTAGTCCAAAAGTAGATTCTTTGGAGTGACGACCAATAGCATGTTAAGAAAAATTTTCTCACATTGCCCATTTTTCATTGGCATATCCTTGTAAGAGAGTAGGAGTGCATATCCTTCCAAATTTCTCATAAATAATGGAAAAGTGAAGCAAATGCTAGAACTACATTAATTAAAACATAAAATCCCAATAGATAATCCACATTGTTTGATTTGATTAATTAGAATATTTATTAATATATATATTTTTTAAAATTTCCATGCAGCAGAACTACCATAAGCTTGTTTGTAAAGCTATGCAATTTGAAGCCACTAGTGGACATGCTCTGAGCCAAGTGGCACAAGCAAAAGTTACAGCACAAGGTGGTCTATGGGACATGACAGAATGGCATCTGGATTGTTGATGCCATCCTTTGCAACATTCCCATTTGGCTTAAAGCCCTTGTCTCATACCTTACATCAAAAGGGCACCTAACCTTGGCCTCATCGATGGCCCTAACATCAAAACAGCAAACAAGAGTCATTTTAACCTAAGTACCAAACCGTAGGACTACGATTTAAAGTAATTAGACTGAGTAATGGCCAAACATGGGAATCCTAGTTGAGTTATCTTCAATCTCCACTATTATTTAATAGTAAAAGAATCTTTCCTCTCGAGTCATTTAAGCTAACAAAGCAAGAAAAAGCTCCCTTTGTCTCCTCATGCTGAACAAAGAGTACACATTGGAATGCGAAACTAAAACTGTTCAATCCAAACATTTTTCTACCTCCGAGGTAAAAAAACATATAGGAGACAAAGTTGTACTCTTCCAGACATGAAGGGAGTGTACTCAACTAGAACAGACCCAAAAAGCATAATTGTTGCATTAGTTTGGTTCCTTTCTAAAACAAAGATCACATAAAGTGCTGTCATCTATTCATGTAAACATTTATTTACTTTTGATAAAGAAACAGGAGATCTATGTTGACCAATTATTTTGTCTAGTATAATAGGTGGATGGCTGAGATTGAACGATCCAATTATAGCTATACTCTGAACCCCCTGATTTGGTGAAAAATCAAGGATTCAATGGGGTGAGAAAGTCCCCAGGAAGGTTCAAAATGTGTATTAACATTTTGTTTTTTTACCCTTGCCTGAGCATGGGCAAAAAGTGAGCCTTAGTCTGACAAGACCACCAGAGTCCATTCAGTAGACATGAGAAGCCTCTTGCTAGACAGAAACTACTGCAGCATTCAGGGATCAGAGTAAAATCAGATTTGCATCATTAACCTTGGCCCAGATAAACCCACGGGTAACTCCTGAGTTCCCTTATCTAGAGTATCTCAACCGTTGGATGTCCTTGGACAAGGAGTTAACATCCAACGGTTAGAAAAATATTAGCTGTTCCCATCAAAACATGACAGAACTAAAACTGTACGAGCAAAGTGAGGAACCAAAGGCATTGGAAGAAGAGACCAAGAGACATACACCTAGTAAAGCTGACTTATACAAAGCGAAGATTGTCCTGAGGAAAAAATGGACGGTTAGAGATTAAGATGCCATGCGTGAAGACACATGTGACACATCTATCTAATAACGGTATCATAATCCGGGATGCTCACTCTCCCTCAAGAATCACGGCACAGGCATTGCCTATACAAAGATTGAACTCTATTACTATTACGGGACTGTTTATACAAAAAAAATCAAAGAATGCGTGAAGCTGAAGAAAGTAAGAAACTAGACCAAAATCTTTCTAAAGCTACCTAAGTAAAAAAAGGAAAAAGAAAAAGAAAGCAATGTACTTGAGCTGAAAATAGTGGCAGCCCAAGATTATTTTTGCACAAAAAACTGATATTTAAAGACATTATTCAATAATGTAACACTAAAAAATCAGGCATACCTTTGAGAAGATGGATACATACAAGATCCATAACCTACAAAACGAAACGAAATAAAGAGAACAAAATAAGCAAAAACCCAGTTGTAAAAACCAACCAAAAAAAAAGAAAGAGAAATTTGAAGGGAAAGAACAAACTGGGATCAGTTTTGGCAACAGTGGCAGTGCCAGCAAATTCACAGGCACCAGGTGCCATGGCCTTGCGCTGGTAGTAGCTATTGAAAGCATAAGAAGCATGAGCCTGGATAGTGTTGGGAAGAAAACAAAGGCCACTTGACTGTATAGGGCTACAGTCTGCACCAGCGGCACATGCATAGTCTAGTGCAGTTTGCAAAGCCTGGTTACTTGCATCACTCCTGGCTACACACCAGCTCGTCCCCTGAGCAACCGAGAAGCTGCTTATTAGCAAGGAGAGGAAGAACAAAACCAGCTTTAAGACTGGTACTTCCATGGAGAACAGCTCAGTTGGTAAAGCAAGAAAGAGAGAGAGATAAAGAGAAGAGTATAGATAAAGAGCGGAAAGAGAGGGAGTGAGGGGGAAGAGCTCTTTCTTTTGTTTTCTTTTCTGCTTTTCTTTTTTTAAACCTTTTTAGTACGCTTATGTATATATATATATATATATATATACACAAACACAATGGTACTGTTATTTTCATGGCTTTGATTATTGGCCTTGGTGGCCAAAAAGGAAAAGAGAAATGAAGAGAAAAAAATATTGTAATATTCCTGCTTTGGATCTTAGTTTTCATGTATGGATTTACCAAACTAACCCCATTTCTTTTTAAAGTAGTATTGGATTCTCTGCTGTCCTTGCTGCATTATAATAATAGAGCTCTGAATTCTGATAGAAATGGATTCTCTTACAGGGTGAATCTTCTGCAGCAGAAAATCAACACATCTTTTGAACACTGTATGAGAGATTTGTCCAATCAAAATATTGAAAGCCCATCAAAATTACATTTGGGTCCCATTATCTTGTAGAAATTCCAAAATGGAAACTGTCAAATTAGTTCACAATTTTCACTTCCTTTTTAAAGCACATTACTTCTTTAATAATTAATTAGTTTAAAATTTTAAAGAAACGAAATAAGTAAAAAATAATTATAAGTTACAGACATTAAAAAATTCATTCTAAGTAATACTTAAAACCAAAATACTTTGATTTGGCATACATTATATATAGAAGTGGTTCACTAGCTTTTCTAGAAATAAACTTAAATTAAATATTAGTAAATTTAATGTAATAATAATAATACTAATAAGTTTGAACTTAAAATTTATATTTTCCAAAAAATTGATGAAACAAAATGAGAATAAATATGAAATAGTTCCTACTTTGCTACATGTATAACTTGTATTTAGGATTACACTCACAGTTGCACATGAACATACTGTAGCTTATAATTTTAAGAAGTGCCAGCCACATTAATGAGCAAAATCATAAGATATGCAAAACTTTTAGCTCCAGCTTCATAAATAAGAAACAAAACCCTTGCGAAATCCACAAGATGGATGACTCAAAATATTCATCTGGAGAACAATCAATGTAATAATTTGTTAAGTGAATGCCTACAAAAACAACCTCAATAAATTAGGAACTAAGTTTTCGAGGCAAGAGGACCAATTACAAAAGAATACTGAAGCTTTTTCTGAGAATATAATTTCATGATATACATAGTAGAACTCATTACATGTCAAAAATGGGTATTGGAGTATATGGTAATTATTGTTGTACACTCACCTCTGCCTTTCATGTATTTCTGTCTCTCTCCTCTGGGGGTGCAATTCTAACTCACCCCTGCTGTCATTTAAGAAACAGAACAAGTATGGAACAAAACACTTCCTTCAAATTTTTTCATAGAATAAGATGTATGCCTCACAGCGAAGAACTTCTTCAAGTGATACTTGGCGCACATAATTATCACTGACATAATACCACGGAGAACTCACATATTCAGTCTCTGCCTTCCCTTTCCTCTTCTCAGCTCCTCTCACATATGCAATGTAGTGCCCCCCTCTCATTGTTCCCGAATGCTCCACAACCCCCATCAGATGGTAAATACAGTTATCTATGTCCACCCTGCAAATTATGAACATGTTTTTAAATCATATGAAAAGGTATTGAGAGAACCGGATGCCTAAGCAATCAAGTGTCATGTACTAGTTATACCATGTAAAATCTCCAACAAAACTTCGTATAGAATGTATATGGATAGCCACTTTCCCTGGTTTCTATATGGATTTTATGGCTTCAATATCATCTGAGCTATTGCTCTAAAACCAGCTATTTTCAAAAGGATGCTTTGGCATGCATCTAAAAAAGCCTATGTATATAATCAAAGTTGGACACAACTGCTAATTAACTTAGAAAGATAAATACAATGACAGGGGATTTTCAAAAACAAAACATAATAAGACAAATATAGATGAGGTTCCCTAGAAAACCTTTTAACACTTGCATGAAAAGCCAAAGAGTGATGGATTCTGTAGCAGTGTACCATTTGAAGCATATAGCAAGGAGTTCAATATCCAAATACATACATAAGTGTCTAGAAGCATGTACACACACACACACACACACATTATAGTGTGCTTGTCCAAACAGCCGGATTGAAACAAAGAAAAAGTAGGTGATCAACAGAGACACATATCCAAAAATAGACAAGTAGGAATATATATATATATATGTATATAAAGAGAGAAAGAGAGAGGGAAAAACATGTATAGGAACATGTAGAAGACAGAAAAAAAGTATCTTTCATATGTTTCCTAAAAGAACTTTTAAAAAGGCAGATTTTCAAAAATATCAGCTCCAATAGGTCTCCTGATTTCTTCCCTGGAACCTCATCTAAAAACAAAATATCTGACCACCATTCCAGATCTCTCAATGTTAATAAGAGTTTAGACCATCTCAGCCACTCACCTCTTTGTAGCTAAATCATTATGTCTCACATCCATGATATAAGGTCACTAGTTCAATTACTATAGATAATGTTCAATAGTAAAAGGATAGCACCTTGGAACATCTTGAAATTTTGACCAACTCAATTACAAAATATAATCCTCCCTATAAGTGTCCAATTCCCATTCAGTATGTTATGATCATGATTATTTAGAAGCTCATGAGAGAGGCTGGCACATCCATGCCCAATAGTCTTATGCTCTCAGCCAGGTTATGATACTGCTAATGGCTTGTGTTGGCATTCGTACAGTATTATTTTGGAAACTCTTAACAATTTTCAATTTCAAAAGGCATATAAGTGAAAATACAGTTAGAGCTGCCATATAATAAAACTCAAAGGAAATAAAATGAGCTGTGAGAGGAAAAGATACCAGTTTTTTCTTACAAAAGCTCATATTACTTTAATGAAATAAACCATAATAAGACATCGCGAAGTTTATCCTTTTCTCAGTCTAACCATCCTATTCAATTTTCCAAACTAACTGTTTTAACTTCAATTGAAAACAAATAAAGTAAAATGAACGGCAAAAGGCAAAGCATTTTATACAAAATGACAAATGCAAAAATATAATGACATCCTACTAGAGGTGAAACAATAATTTGAACAAGCTAAAAGTTACTCAAGTCTAAGATATTCTAAAAATTGTGTTCTACAAAGATCTTGCACTTGTATTATAAATGCCGTAAAAGTGTTTTTTGCCATCTTAAAAATCAGACAGTTCAATATTCCTATACAATAAACTCTGTGCTACAAGGGGTCGTTTCATGTAATCACAAATAAATCTTGTACTAACAAACAGGGAACACATTGACCAAGAATATATGACTGCAGCATCTAAAAGCACACACTACCAGCTATCTGTAAATTAAAACAGATCAAGCAACCAAATTGAAAATAATAAAAGAGGTCACCAAAATTTTAGAATTTAGCTTTTAGAGAGGTTTAAGAAAAAAGTAAGCACAAGGGAACAGACTTAACAAGAAGAAAGGCTATGCACATTAAGACATATGGAAAGGTACCTGGCATCCACATATGGTCTAAGATCGATTGTTTCTCTGAAATTGACGTGGCCATTCAATTTACTTAAGCGACCACGAGCGTCTTGGCTGAACCTCTTCAAATGAATAGTTAGAATAGGTGGAGCCTTGTTTATGAGGACCCTCTTTGTTGCATTTCTCTTCACCTTCACGTTTTTAGAGTCTATCTCTTCATCTTCACTTTCCCCTGATTGACAGTTTTCGGCCATCTGTGAATTACTTTGCTGAAATTTATCATTATCACTATGATTTTCAACATTGCAAGAATCAACAGGTTGGATACCACCAGATTCTTCTTGACCACAAGATTTAGAGGAGACTGAAGAACTTGATTTCATCAGACTTGCATCTTCTATCACTGATTTCCCTTCTTCAGATTTAGACACAACTGAATTTAGCTCACCTGTTTGACCGTTTTCAACTTTTATACCATTTTGTTTCAAAGAATCAGTTATCTTGTTATGTAAAACCAAGCTTTCACCAGAATTACTAATATCGCCATTACTAATAGTTCTAACTCCGTTAGGACAAGGGAATTCTTTATCTAAACTTGGTGGTTCACATTGGCTTTGAGTCTCACCACCAATGGATAAATTCTTTGACATCTTAGTCTGCTTCTTCTTTGCTTCCAACTTCTGACGTCGCACAATTTTTGCACAATTCTCACAATTCCAAGCATTATCGTCAGAAAGAAGCTCCGGCTTTATGAAATGAGCCAAACAGCTTTCTACAGACACTGGAGAGTCACTATCATCAACCTCATCAGGATCAGAATCACTAATATTCCCAGCCAAAAAACCAGTTTCAGCAACTTCATTTGCTAAAGAGGGCCCAATGCTGGGCCTTTCAGCAATTTCAGGCTCATTAAACATGTCACCAAAGCCATCGAACTCCACTTCCTCTTGTCCATGGCCAACATTTGATGAGAAGGCCTCGTTTTCTCTCACACTCTCTTTAGAACTGGTACCTTCTTCTTTGTAAGGGAGCAACAGAACCTCAGAATCTAGAACCAGCAAAGGAAGCTCCTCTTCCTGAAGGTTTCCAGAAGAATCATGTGGTTTCCGATTTGGTTCCCCCTCAACTAAAGAAACCTGACTACTTTCTGCTAAAGCTTCATTCAGAACCAGATCCTTGTCTTCAGAATCTTGAAAAAAGGAAATATCATTATTTTGAGAAATCAAATCATTCTCAACAGCTATTGTTCCTGGTTCAAGGTAATCCATCCAAGTAAAACCATCTGCCCCAGCTGCATTTTCCTCCAGCGTATTCTCCATTACAAGGTAATCCATCCAAGCAAAATCATCTGCCGCAGCTGTATTTTCCTTCACCGTATTGTCCATTACTTGCTCATTCTCAGACTCCGCAACAGCTAAGAGATTCTGTGAAGCAGAACTGAGTTCATTGGCCACGGCACTTGTGCCAACAGCACCTGATAGTAAAGTATCACTGGAAGATGCCACCATGGTTTCCGTTTGAGGCACAACTATATGGCCTAGGCCTGGAGATTCACTGCTTGGCGATGAAGTCGTAACACCTTGAGCTGGTGACCGATCTGCATCTTTGTTAATTTTTCCTCGAGCCCTGCCAACTTTTTTTGGTGGCAGCTTTGTTTTCTTGGCTCGAGAGACTGGTTGAGCCTTTTTAGTTGGGGTTTTCTTAGTTGGAACTGGAAGGGAGAGATCTAAAAATGGTTCATACACTGTTGAGGAGTGCCCACATTCCTCACAACAGAGAGTACTAGAAATTTGACCCCCAAATACTGCATCCACAAAAGTAAGATCCTGATTTGCCAAAACTACATCATTTTTAGAAGCATTAATGTGTTTTTTCAGAGCCAACTCTTCTGTATAAAGCCCATCAAGCAAGCAACGAAGCAATTCATGACTATCATGTTGTTGATAGCCCCTAAACTGGGGAGCCTTAGCACAAATGCACCCAAAAAAGGGTTTTGGATTGATAGCATTTTTCAATCCCATCTCCGGTTTTGTTTCAGCAAAAAGCTTTTTCAAAGAAATAGTTAGTTGCCCCGCGGATGCATCCAGATTCAAGAAGTAGTCCCTTAGTCTATCCAGAGCTAGAAGATTCTGCATTACTGAATTAAAGAAGCATGTATTCCCAAGATTAACCAAACCCCGAACCGTATAGCCACTTTTTTCATCAATGCCATTTGATATAGTTCCTTCTAATTTGATTGCATTCGTAACACTGCCACTTCCAAACCAAACATCCTCAACATCAGCTGCTGGTAATTCAGATGATCGTTCTTTAATCAATTTTACAACCTCAGACAAAGCATCTTTATTTTCACCATTTTCTTCCGTTTTCTCTACAGGAATAAATGTACTACACGCGAAGCACCACCTCAATTGGGGATTATCCCACTGAATCATCAAGTGATGACGGGTTTGTCTAATATGACGAATTGCATGGGTGGTAGAAGCTGTTGGCAAACCAACTCCAGCACACACAAAATGTCCACATTCCAAACAAACCCAAATGGCTTTCGACTCAGATTTTGAATCCACCGATGCACTTCCCTTCTTCTTCCCATGTTTACCCTTTCCCTTACTCCCTCTCCTATCACTTCCACCTTCCCTACAATCTTCGCACCTAATAGGCTCCGAGGACCTTAATTTAGGCAACAATTTATCCAAGTCAATACCTTTAACAAGATGGGGACATGATTTCCTCTCTTTTACGACTGGAACTCCATCATCAACATTTTCAATACTAGCATTATTCTCTTGAGGTATAACTTTTGGAGATTGGGCTGCCACAACCTTTTTCTCCCTAGGAGGTACTCGGCGATTCTTCTTAACCCTTTTCCCCATTAGTTCCTAAAAAACCAATTCCAAATAACCATTAACACCTTAAACCCTCCAAGCAATAGCAAAAACTCATATGAGCAATCAATACAGAAATAATAACAAAAAAAAAATCCAAACAATCTACTCCCTATACATATATGATGAAATTAGTATACATGAAAATACACAAACTCAGTATCAACTACACGAAGCAGAGATTGAGAAAAAGCAAAAAAAAAAAATGTAAATTTAGAAGATGACCCAGACGATGATGATTTGGATTGACAAAAGCAAACAGAAGCTTCTAAACTAGTATTGAGGCCACGGCAGGTCCAGCAAAGGTGTAAACTTTACAAAAATCAGAAAGAATTAGAGAAGAAGAGAAGGAAAGAAAAACTTTACCCGAAAATCTGAAGGAAGAGGACTAATAAATATCGGTTTAGAGAAATCTAGTGAGAAAGGGCTTGTTTACATGAGGGCAAGTAAAAGAAAAGAATAATAACAATAATAATAACAAAGAAAGAATGGGGTTTTGGAGATTTAGGATCTAAGCAAGGAAGGAAGGAAGAAGAAGAAGATTAAAGAGTCGCGTGGGCATTATAAGGGTTTGCCTGGCGCACCCTCTAAGTTTACTCCTCTCTCTCTCTCTCTCAAATCATCAGAGGCAAGAGAGAAGGGAAGCTGTGAAGGTGAAAATTATAAAAACAACTGCAGTAACCTGATTTAAAAACTGTATGTGACCACTTCAATATTATTGGAAAACTATTCTTGTTTTTTTCTTCTTTTTTAGCAAATTACATAAAATTCCTTGACGTTTGAGTATAATTACATTAGAGGACAACAGTTTGCAAAAACTACATCCCGCCTCAATGTTGAGAACGAGGTTAACGGAAAACTTGCAATTACTGAAATAGCCCTTACTTAGAAAACCCACCTCAACACCGGCGTATTTATTCTGCCTACTTTACTTGAGGTCTTCTAAATTTAACCACCGTTTCTTTTAAAAAGGAACATACGCTCGTAATTCATCAAAATCAACCAAGTAACTTTATAATATACTATCATATTAATTCACAAACGATAAATTTTGAACTTCTTGAGTTTATAATTCACTATCTTACTTCATTTAAATTTAAGTTTGTGTAATGTTTGAGTTAAATTTTTATGTATGCGTGTTATTGTGTAAATTATAAATTTTAAAAATTTTACTATAACATAAGCAAGTAATCTAAATACACAAGCAAAATTCACACATCATACTTATTACAATATTATGTAATCATATTCTTAAAAATCAAGAATCTATAAAGAATGATGAACATACTTTTTCCTTGATCCCGTTTCTCAAATTCGATTCACACTAATAAGCAATATATAATGAATCTTTCACCTTAATTCTATTCAAATTGGGTAAAATAATGAATAAAAAAATTGTAACCTTGTTTCTTAGCTTTTCGGTGTCTCTAAAATCATAAAATCATGTTATTTAAACTTCCAAAGCAAAAATTATGCCCAAATTTAGACCTCTAGAGCAAAAGTTATGCCTAAATTACCAAAAATACCAAAAATAGGTTTTTTTTTTACAAGATTCTTAATTCTTGACTTATAGTGAATTGTAGTAAATTCACCACTACACCAAAAAATTGATTTCTCAATCAAACAAACTTACCACTTATTTATCAAGAATCTCTTCAACTTGAATGAACAAATTGTGGAATGCTAAATCAAGATCGTAACAATTGAATTTCTTGGTTTTTTCTTTAAATTTAGGTAATGATTGTTTCTCTTGTGAGAGATTTCTTAGAAAAATATGAAAATTGGAGATCAAGAAAGGGTGACCAGAGGATTCCCAGAGGAACTATTGGACTTGGGGTTTTGGACTTAAAAGAAGATGAAATTTTTTTTCCCTTTTTATAAGGTGTGGTCAAAATTTTAAATATTTGCTTCTTGATGGACTCTTCTTTTATTTTTATTTTAATTAAAAATAAATTCCTATCAAGAGTCTAAGTTGGTCATCCATAAACTATTATGGTTGTAATATACTTCTCCAATAATTATTAAAATTATAATTAAAAATAAATAATATATTTATTTAATTATAATTATTTGTCCAAGTCAAAATATGATTCCTTCTTGAATAATTATTTTATTTTATTATTATCCATCTTTAATTGAAAAGAATTAACACTAAAATAAAAGAATTCTAATCAAATACCGACTATTATAATTTATCAAGAGATTAAATTTAATTAAAAATAAAGAATAAATTTTTTAACTTTTTTATTATAATTAAAATCTTTCAATATTATTTTATTTCAAGACAATAATTATCTTCATAAATATTTTTCATTTTAAGACAACTCTTGCCTTAAAAAAACTCATTCATTAATACAAATTTTGACTTACCAAAAATAAAATAATATAATTAAGACATCTCTTGTCTTAAATCAACATATCTATTCTTGTCTATCTTAAAATAACTCTTGTTTTAATTAAGACAACATATGTACTTTGTCTAAATTGAGACAACTCTTATCTTAATTATAACAATATATAAAGTTATCATTTTTAACATAAATTTAAATAATTAAATAAAACATGCATTTCAACTGAAACAAGTTAAATAAATTGAATTATGACAAGCTAAATAAAAAATCTATTTGGACGTAGATATTACAAGCTCTAATAAACTTAAAATTACTGTCAATCTCATTAAGATAATTCAAGTTTATTAACCATAAATTCATGATTGCACTCTTGGATTAACTACAATTTTAAAAAAATGATTTAATATTTAATATTCAATATTGGTTATCCAAAGTGCAAACCTTATTTTGTGAACTCTCATAACCATCCAATAACAAAAGGTAAAATTATCGTTTTATTCTTTATGTCAATTTTGTCTCTTAATCTCATATTTCATCCAATTTGTTATTCAATATTGCTTTTCAAAAAAAAAATAGTGATTAAATACTCTAAATCTAATCTTTTAGGTATCAAGATGCGATGAGTAATTAATTCATCTATTCACTAGGCCCAAATTATTCACCAATCTTTCTTAAATGACTAGAAGTAATGTTAATACTATTAACTCTGTTATTTAGATATTTATTCCCATATACTTACTTCAATTATAATCTCAACATACACAGCCTAAATTAATGTATTAAGATGATCTTACTCATGGTATATTAAAGATTATAAGGAGATAAAAAACAAGTTCACTATCTATCAATATTTTGGTTCTACCATAAGCGAATATATAAGTGTGAGATTAAGTTTTAAGTAATGGTAATGATAAAACTTAAACTTGATTCTCATGTGATTCTAGTTCAAATTATAGTGTCATTACTCGAAATTAACAATTTCAATGATTTAAGACTCATTATTCTTTTGAAGTGAATTGCATTCTTTTCATTGGAAATAAGTTAGACATTACATCTTTAATATAAAAAAGTGATCAACTTTATTATATAGCTATGAATAATTTTTATATTCAATTAAAATTCATGTATCATATTTATGACTCTTCATATAACTATATTTTAATATTTCAATATAATTATGGTACTTTTATAACTCGATAATGAATGTTTACTTAAAACAAATTATTTGTCTTATTATTAAAATGTATTTTCATTACAAATAAAATAAACAGAACATAATAATGAGAATACACTTGCTTTCTAAAATACCATATTTTCAAATTCCTAATATATACAACATTAAATAATTGTGTAATTTTAAAATTTGTTATTTACATTAAATTCTAATTTTGTTTTATTTTAAACTTTTATATTATAAAAGTAAGTGTCTGGTAGAACCCTAGGGAACACTTGTAACTAAGGAACATTTGTAACTTTAGGTGAAGCTAATGCTCAAGAGATTTGTTAATGTACAAGGAATTTTTTTGGTTAAATTTGTTTTACTCTATAAACATAGACAAGAGGTAAAACTAGATAAATTCTTGTGTTTCTCTATATATTAGATTTTTTATAAATTTTATTTTTATTATTTTTGAATTTTTTAATAAAACTTTGATTATATAAAATGGATAAAAAAATATTATCTTGTCAAGACATCTTGAAATGAGAGAAAAATTAAGGATTACCATAAGTTATAAAACATGTAAGAACCTAAAAAATTAGAGAAATATATTGAGTTTTTATTTTTAAAAAATAAAATTGATCTATAATTCAAGCTTAGTACCTATTGATCTATAATTCAAGCTTAGTACCTACTATCCAAAATTCAAAAATCATCTATCATTTCCACTAATATTTCGCCAAGTATCTAAGGCTTATTATGAATTAAAAAAAAATCAGGCAAACTTTTATGGGAAGGCTTTGGAAAATGAGGAAAAAAAAAGAAAATTGTTTAATTTTGTTTTTCACACTTAAAAAATGTTTCTTTTTTACTTTAATTTGTTATTTTTTTTGTCCATTTGTGTATCAAAATTTAAAGGATTCGTTGCCGATCTTTAAGGGCATTTTTGGCATAATGTGATTATAATACGATGCCATGTACGTATTTACTTTCACAGTCACTTAACGTTTGGGTTATATTGACATACTTGAAGCCTTATTTTGGGGCGGGATGTAGGTTTTCTAAACTTGTGTCCTTGAGTGCAATTATACTCAAACCTCAAGGACTTCTATGTAATTTACTATATCATTAAGTCGGGAACAGAGGTTAATATACTTCAGTTTAAGACCATTAATAACAATTGCAGCCTATGTCTTGATTAAGCTCAACATTTTACACTCATTGAAGAGTGGGTAGGGAAAGAAGCTTAGGGTGATCATAAATAACGTTTTTCTTTGTCTTTTTCGAAATTATTATTGTATTAAATGTAGTTTTCTTTTACATCATTTGGTGAATTTGTAATCTCAATTTATTGCCTTCCCATCCTATTTGGTTATAACTTGTAGGGTGCCAGTCAAATAAACCCTGGGATTTAATTCAATTATGATTAAGCTATGCTCTCCGGGACAGCTCGACAATGAAAGATGAAACAATTCCTTGAACATTTGTACTACGATTTTATAGATCTATTAGGAAACCCGAAGATGGGCTTTGCTAGGTCCAGTTATCTAATGCTCTTGAGCCTAATAGATGAGCCCGGACAAGTTCCCTAAGGCCGTGGTGACTCATCCTGAAATTTTAACTAGGTCCAGTCTCTCACGAAAACCTGAAGGAGTACAAAGCTGGCTTTGGGTTCCCGAGATATTCACCTTCGGGATGCTCTGATAATGCCTGGAGAAGCATTCCGTGGCCCTTCCAGGAAGCATCTGAAACACACTTTTTAACATGGAGAAATTCAGGTCGAGGATGATCCTCGGTTGATTCTCAAATTTTGCATTGGAATGTTGATACTTGATAATGATAAGTACATTACTTACTTCTGTATGGATGTTTTAGGGATGAGAAAGTGAGCAAAGAAAAATACTACTCCCAGAATATTGGTGCAAGAGAACTGTAAAGCATAAGTACATGATTACTGGATATGGGATTGTGGATGGTATGGGTAAGCTTACTTAACTAGACCCTTATACAAATTTAATAGGAGTCCCAAATATATCAAATTATTGTAGTCATAGGTAAGGATAGAGTCAAGATTTTAAATTTAAAAAGATGAAAATGAACGAAATTATAAAATTTTTTTAAAATAAAAGTATAATTTTAAAATAAAATTTTAAAATTTTGAAAAGGCGTAAGTGGATGGTTGTCATTACAATGGTCTTGTTAAGATGGTACATGCAGAAGCCAAGGCTTGATCATGCTCTCTTCTCTTGGTCAAAGGTAACAGTTTTCTAGTCTGTCTATGAACCAAACTTGTTTGAAAAGAAAGACCATCAATGACACTTCGACAGGAGTAAAAAAATTCCCCAGAGTAGGAGCAACCAAGAAATTAGTTTGAAACGTATGAAGATATGAATAACAACAGTGCAGTATTATATATAAAGGATGCATAAATCTGTTCAGTTCGAGTGCATCGTAAAACTTTTGGTCACTTAATCAGCTAATAGGGCAAAATAGTTTGTGTGTCAGAAGAGGCGCATATTGTGGGAGTTTGGACAACCAAGAAAAGAAGGTCCCTGATTTCGTGACTTTCCAAGTGCTTGGCCTGTGAGAAATTGAGAACTTTTGTCTTTCTCTAATTTGTCCTTTCACCGCAAACATTCAATCTGATCCAATAACAAAGTTACATTTTTAGTATGCGTTAAGAGAGATAGGCTTATCCTAGTCATCTAGAACCAGATGCTTTGGACCACCCAGAAACTCAAAAAGGAAAGATGCTTTGGGCATCTCGCTTTTCTTTTTCTTCTTCTTATTCTCTTGATTATAATGATAAAACCAAGAAGAGATTATGGCCTTTTCTAGAATGATAAGGAAAATTTGGCGACACTGCTTCCCTTTCAATCATTCTTGTTTTAAGCGCAAAGGCTTTCCCTTCTATCAAACTTTTCTTTCTTCCACTCTTTGCTTCTAGTCCTCCTTGTTAGGAAAGAAACATGGCTGGGGCCTTGGTGGGTGGAGCTTTTCTCTCTGCATCCCTACAAGTGCTGTTTGACAGGATGGCTTCTCGCGAGGTCCTAGACTTCATTAGAGGAAGGAAACTTAAAAACGGGCTGCTGATCAAAAACTTGGAGATAGCTCTCTTATCTATTGGTGCAGTCCTGGATGATGCTGAGGAGAAGCAAGTTACAAACAAAAATGTGAAAAAATGGATCACTGAGCTCAAAGATGCTGTCTATGATGCGGAAGACTTGTTGGAAGAGATTAGCACCGAAGCTCGTAAAAGAAGGTTTGAAGCTGAAAGTCAAACCAGTACAGCTCAGGTATGTCGATTCTTTTCTTCTCTGAATCCATTTGATCACAAAGGGATAGAATCAAACCTAGAAGAGATCATTGAGAGGATTGAGATGTTGGTGAAACAAAAATATGACCTTGGTTTGAAAGAAGGTAGAGGAGAAATGTCTTTCCGGAGATCACCTGCGACTTCTTTGGTAGATGAATGTGATGTTTGTGGCCGAGATGATGACAAAGAAGCCATAATGAAGTTGTTGCTGTCAGATGAAGCAAGTGGAAATCTGATAGGAGTGATTCCAATTGTGGGAATGGGTGGAGTTGGTAAGACCACTCTTGCAAAGTTGATATACAATGACAATAGAATCAACCAATGCTTTGAGCTCAAAGCATGGGTTTGTGTTTCTGAAGAATTCGATGCTTTCAGGATAACAAAAACTATTTTTGAACAGATTATTTCAGGGACTTGTGATATCAAGGACTTAAATCAGCTCCAACTTGTTTTGAAGGAGAAATTGTTGGGAAAGAGATTTCTATTTGTTTTAGATGATGTCTGGAATGAGAAATATGTTGAATGGGAAGAACTTAAAAGTCCTTTCAACTCGGGGGCAATAAGAAGCAAAATTGTTGTAACAACACGCCATGAAAATGTGGCATCAATTATGAGGACAGTTCCAACTCATCATCTTAATCATTTATCAGATGAGGATTGTTGGCTTCTGTTTGGTAAACATGCGTTTGGCAATTCTGATCCTGGGATGCATCCAAGACTGGAGGTTATTGGCAAGAAAATCGTGAAAAAATGCAAGGGTCTGCCTCTAGCAGCAAAAACACTTGGTGGTGTGCTGCGATCCGAGCCAGATGTCAAGGAATGGGAAAAGATGTTAAAGAGTGATATATGGGACTTGCCTGATGATGCAAGCAATATTCTTCCGGCATTAATGTTGAGTTATCATCATCTTCCATCTCATTTGAAACGCTGCTTTGCATACTGTTCATTGTTCCCAAAAGATTACAAATTCAGAGCAGATGAACTAATTCGATTGTGGATGGCAGAAGATCTTTTAGAGCACCCAAAAGAACACATGAAGATGGAAGAAGTAGGTGATGAATACTTCAAGAGTTTGCGGTCAAGGTCCTTTTTTCAACAGTCAAGTGGGGACAAATCCTCTTTTGTTATGCATGATCTAATAAATGATTTGGCTAAATTTGTGTCTGGAGAATTTTTTTGCCAATTAGAAGGTGCCAACGGTACATCCAAAAGGACAAAACGAACTCGACATTTGTCAAATATCAAAGAAGAATATGATCTCTTTCAGAAATTCGAGGCATTAGATGAATCAAAGCATCTGAGAACATTTCTTACTTTGAGCTCATCATCATGGTCATGGTCTTCTTGTGTTACAAATAGGCTGGTGCATAATTTACTGCCAAAACTAAGAAAACTGCGGGTACTCTCTTTGTCTAAATATGAAAATATCAGTAAGTTGCCAGATGACATTGGTGATTTGAAGCATTTAAGATATTTGGATCTTTCGGAAACTTCAATTGAAAGGTTGCCAGAATCTTTGAGTTCATTGTATAATTTGCAAACACTGATACTGTTTGGGTGTGAAAAGTTGGTTGAGTTGCCTCGAAGCATGGGAAGCCTAATCGACTTAATTTATCTGGATCTCAGGGGAACAAAACTAACAAACATGCCATCACAAATGTGTAAACTAAAAGATCTACGAATATTAACCAATTTTGTTGTGGGTGAGCAAAGTGGGGCTAACATCAATGAATTAGAGGAGCTTCAACATTTGCGTGAAGGAATTTCTATCTCAAACCTACAAAATGTGGTTGATGCAGAAGATGCCAAAGACGCTAATTTGAAGGGTAAGGTGAATCTTCAAGAGCTGGCCTTGGGTTGGAGTGGTCATACTGATAACTCAGAGCATGAAAGACAAGTACTCAGCCAGTTGGAGCCTCATAAGTTTTTGGAGCACCTGGTTATTGAATATTATGGAGGAACAAGATTTCCAAATTGGGTAGGGGATTGTTCATTCTCAAATATTTTATCCCTGCGCTTAAGCAATTGTGAGCATTGCTTTTTCTTGCCACCACTTGGGCAGTTGCCATCGCTGAAAGACCTCTCAATTGAAGGATTTGTTGCAATAGTGACAGTGGGTATTGAGTTCTTTGGGAGTGGTTTTTCTGTTGTAAAGCCATTTGGATCCCTTGAAATTTTGAGGTTTAGGAACATGCCAGAATGGATAGATTGGTTTTCTTTGTCAGAAGGAGCTTTTAGTCATCTCCATGTACTATACTTAAAAGATTGTCCCAAGCTAATCAAAGCCTTGCCTAACCACCTTCCTTCCTTAACGAAACTTGTGATTCAAGATTGTGGAAGGCTTGGGGGCTCACTTCCGAGAGCTCCAAGTATCAATGAACTGGAGTTGGTCAGTTCTGATCTAGTGCAGCTGGAGGCACTACCTCCTGGACTACGAAAACTGAAAATTGAAGAATCCGATGTTCCCGATTACACACTTGCGCTGATGCTGCAAAACTGCACTGGTCTTGAAGAGCTGTCTCTTTCTAAATGTTCATCTCTCAAGTCCCTTCCCCGAGGCTGTCTACCAGCTACATTAAACAAGCTTAGCATCCGTAGCTGTCCTGGCTTCGAGTTTTCTACAATTCTCTTGTACACATCCCTGGAGATGTTGTCCTTAGTTGGTTCATGTCATTCACTCCAATCGTTCCCATTAGGATCATTCCCTAAGCTAAATACTGTCTATATCTTTTATTGCCAAGATATTGATTCCTTTACTGCATCAGATCAAACCAATCAGGATCTCACATCTCTCAAGTCTCTGCATATATTTCGCTGCCCTAATCTTTTATCTTTTCCTCAAGGAGGATTATCCGCCCCGAATTTGACATGGCTTTGGTTCTATGAATGCAACAATTTGAAGTCACTACCTGAGAATATGCATTCCCTCCTCCCATCCCTTGAAGGTTTGTGTATATACAATTGTCCAGAAATCAAGTCATTTCCAGAAGGAGGTTTGCCATCCAAATTGAAATTTCTTCGAATCGATGCTTGTGATGAACTTATAGCCAGACGAATGGAATGGGGTTTGCAAAGACTTCCTTCGCTTATGAGCTTCCATATCAGCAGCAATGCAGATATAAAGTCCTTTCCAGACGAGACTCTACTGCCTTCTTCGCTTACCTCTCTATCAATCTCCATTCTTCCAAATATCAAATTTTTAGACTATAAAGGGCTTCAAAATCTTACATCTCTTCGTCAACTAGATATATGGTACTGTCCGAAGCTCCAATTCTTGCCAGCAGAGGGGATCCCCTTTTCGCTTTCTTATCTACATATCGTGCATTGTCCATTGCTAAGCCAACATTGCCAAAAGGAGAGTGGTAAAGATTGGCCTAGGATTTCCCATATCCCTGTCATAAAGATTGACAACGATGTGGTCAGCATAGATTGAGCTACCTCCTTTTGCCTTGTTAACCAAATCTCATTCAGGTAGACGGTAGTCCTTCTACACTCAACATAGCATTCTCCGTTTATATTAGTTGACTCTTGTGACTGCTTATTTATTTATACAATAAACTCCTCAATGAAATTCTTTTTCTGCTCTATTTTGTTCAGATTCTAGATAGCTTAGCTTTGAAACAACCGATCAACGGGCCCTCAAGGTGTAAGGCCCGTGTTTACCTGGACAGATCGTCAGAATCCTTGCATTGCTCGTGAGTTGATTGCATGTTTTTCTTCCTTATATTCTTCAGGGAATCAATTACAAGTTCTATTATCAACTAAACATATTTCAACAGGTTCTTAATATTTTCAGTATTTTCCTAAACTAAACGAGATATTATAACTAGGTGCTTGTTCTATACCTGTTTGAACTTGTTAAATTTGTTGAAACTTGAAGATTAAATTGAAGATTTTCTTCTGAGACCTTTTGTCCTTTTGGCTTGTTTTTCAAAATGAAAAGCAGGTGACAGTCATGAAAGACTTGTAGCTGTACCTATAGCAGACCTAGGAGGCTAGTATTGTGATATATTGCTTCCTTTGTGTAATAGCCTTGCGGCTTCAATACCTTAATTCACTTCAAATGATTGACTTGTGAAAAATTAGAAAAATCCTGGGTATAAGTCTTTTGCCTTTGCTTCATATTCTATCTTCTCTTCTTTTAAACGAAACTCCAATAAAATTAGCTGTCTTTCAGTTTACAGTTACTGTAAGGCAAAAGATTTGTAATTTCACAAATATTTTTGTGGTTTGCTTCACTGAATTTTAGCACAAACTGACAATCATTATGGAAATAAACTTGATTTTGATGCACTGTCAGTGTATGAACTCTCTGGTTGAATCAAATTCCAAGAATACTCTGACTTGAATGGTGAATACTAAGGATTGTTCTTGGAATTTGTCTAGTATTTTCAATGAAATAGTGTTTCTCGAAGTCAGAACCTGTGGTTTTTTTTTCCTTCGAGGAGTCCTCAGGGAAGGCACATTATTTGGCAGATTATTTTGCTTATATTCTGGTTTCCTGTATGCCTGGTGGACTCCAAATTTCTGCTGCAGTCCTGTTTTTCCTTTGCCTTCTTTATTGCTGATTTTAATACCTACCTGTGAAATCTTGCTGCAAGTTGATTGAGTATCTTGTCCTGTTTCAGTGACTTTTGGGGCTGGGATTTCTCTGCTCTATTCGGTGCTTCTTGTCAGGTGTTTTCACAATCTTTCTTCTAGCTGTGATTTGTGAAACTCTACCGTTTACGGGTTAGATTCTCTATCAGAGCTTAATCTGCTCTTCTTCTCTTTTTTCATGTGATGTTGTTCGGAAGTACTGGTAGTGTAGTTTCTTCTGCTTTTGTGTTTATTAAGACTCTTTTCCTTTCCTCTTAAAACTCAATGACCAAGTTAGACTACTTTTATATCCTCTCTCTATTAATGAAAAAATCTGCCTCTTGACTGAGCCAAGAAACAAAAAATAGTACTAATCTGTAGTATTCTGCTATTGTTTTGTAGGCTGCTGTTAGGTATCTTTCAAGCTATTCCTTGTTGATTGCTCCATCATAGTATATAATTGATACCTTTGACCATTAATTGCAAGTTCTTGTTGTTTCTCCCATTCCAAGCCAAAGTTCCTAGTGCATCCAGAGTCAGCTTGTCCAAGTCAAGTGCAATACGAGATCAGTTTCTTCAAATGCAAGAATTATACATGTTTGGTCTTCCAAAAACTAAGCCATTGAGATCCCTTCAATATTTTAAAGATTTGTTACAGATGATGGAGTAAGGGTTCAAGGCAATATAGAGTGTATGTTCTTAATTTCAGGTCTCCAGGACACTGGAGATTTTGCCTTTTCACTCACTGTTACCTTGCAAGTCACCCTGTTTCTGATAAATTGTTTAATCAGTAATTTCTTTTCAACAATTGTTGCATGATTATGGCAGACATTTATTTATTTTCCATATTATATTCTTACATGCTAGTGAGCAGTGACAGAATAAGTTTGTTGCCTGTACAATTTCACATATTTTTTTGTTTTTGGCTAGAGATTTCACAGACTTGGAAAAGTTTTAAAAGAATATATAATAGTAATGAGAACAATGACAAGTGGAAATCTAATCATCGTCAAAACTAACTAATTATCATTATTTTAACCATTCTTAAACAAAGGGATGAAGTTAAGATTCATTTAAACTAACTTGTACTTACTAAAACCTCCATAACCATTAAAGAGTGGGAGATTAAAGAAAACAGAACACAAGTAAATATGATTAATATTTCTCTGTTTGATTTTTCTTTTGGGTTTTTCCCCACCTTGTTTAGTTTGGCTTCTACAAATGTCATTTATTCACCCAAAATGTGAATATTTAATATCAAATGAGAGGAATATTCTCATAGCAATAACAAAACGAATGGGAATATTCCTTTTGGGTTATCAAAGGTGCAAGATATAAAAGCAATAGATGGAAACCAAGGTCAAGACTTATCTGTACCTGAATCAAACATTCAAATTCATATCTGTAATAGTAGAATGCCAGGAATGCAATCCAGAGTAGGATATTTTACCAAAATAATGCATTTGCTTCCCATTGTATATATGAACATGAGCCATGGATGTTTTCCACATCAACAAGCCATATTTTTTCCTTAATACAAATCACTGCCTTCAGTTTACACTTCCCAGAAACAAATCTCAAAATGGCTAGGCTTTCTTGGGCTCCCATTGCTTTCCTTCTCTTCCTAGCTTTGGCCTTTACCATTCAAACAGCAAGGGTATGCATTTTTCTCCTTCCTACATTATAAACACATTTATGTATATTTATATTTCTAAACTATTAATATATTTTGTTTCATTTCTACAGGCTGGTGGGGAAGGATCCCTTAAACCTGAAGGTAATTAATGTACTTGTTTTCACAAATTTCATAAGAACTTAACCCATAGATTAAAACTCCTCCTGTAGACTTTATCTTTGATGTATAAATTAATAATTTTAAAAAATTTTGACAATCTTTCAGAGTGTGAAGGTGCATGCGAGGTTCGGTGTTCAGCAACATCTCACAAGAAGCCATGTCTATATTTCTGCAACTATTGCTGTGACAGATGTTTGTGTGTTCCTTCTGGTACATCTGGCAATAGGGAGGAATGTCCATGCTACAACAACATCAAAACAAAGGAAGGTGCCAATAAGTGCCCTTGAAAAATTAAGCACTGAAGAGCATGAAGAGGAAAAATAATGCAGTGATGTTGGAATAAGACAGTTAAATGCTGTCAGATTGTTTGATTTGCAATATATAATGTCATTCAATCCTTTTACTTGTAGAGGAAGAAATAAATGGTGCTAATTATGGCCTAAAAAAGATTAGAAATCTAAGGTAACAGTGGTATAAAATAAAATTTTAAATGATGGATATACAGAGAAAGTTTTTATTTATCAAAGAAAAAAAAATGGAGGATTAATGCTTTTGGTGTTTTAGTCTACCTCCACCTCTACTTTTTCCTTTTATCTCAAATTGTGATTAAACCAGCATTAAACTGCATAAGCTTAGCTCATTAGAAAGTGTTAGGATATGGTTTGGACGGAGATTATAGGTTTAAATTATAAATTTAATTCTCTGTAGTTCATATCGTCGCCATATCAGTATAAAATAATAGGTTTTATTTTGATTAATAATAGTTAGTCAATTATTAACCATATGCATTTATTTAGTCCAAAATTGAACTTAAATAAACAAAATAAAGGTTTGTATAAATTTTTTTAATAATTCAAGAGAATATTATATGAAATAGATAAAACTTGTTAAATAATAGGTTTACTTAAAAAATTTACCAACAGATTATTTTATTTTTATTTTTTTATGTTTAGTTATTCTTACTTGAGAAATTTGTGAAGTTGATAACTCTATGATATAGAGTTACTTGAGCTTAATTTTGATAGTAATTTGACTTAGTTCTTGTAGTAATGCAGAAAAAATAATGAGTTTTATTTAAATTATTTTAAATTAGTTAATTTAGGTGAGTCAAGCTAATCTTAGTTAATTTTATACTTAATTTGGTGTTAATGTGATTAACATAGGTTGTTGTTGATTTAGTTGTGTTTTTGTAAATGTTTAATGAAGGAAGAATTTTAACAAAATGAGAGCAATTTCAAGGTGCAAACTTCTATTACATATATTTCGGTACTTTGATCATAACTCTCTTAAAAAAGCTCGATGATTCTTAGGCCATTAGAAAGCTAAGAGAAAATGCTACAACTTTCATATTTACTATTTTATCTAGTTCAGCCTGAAATATAGTCAAAAATCTTGTCGAAGTTAAACCATTTCAACAATCCTAAAGCAATTACTACTTTTGCTAATTAATTGGTTGAGGCTGTGGGCTTGATGGAGATAGGTCGTGGCTCATGTAGTCTGATGAGGAAATCTTAACTGAAATTGACTTCTTTCTTTATCTAACTTGGGTTAACTTTAAAACTTTATAAAAATAACCTTTCGGTGAACTTAAAAAAAGAAGAAGAAAGGGATGAAATATTAGATTGACAGTTAAAAATAAAATCGCAAATTTATTAAAATTAAGAAGAATTTGAGAGATTCAAGAAGATTTGGTAGATCAAGATTACAGTTCTGAGGTTTTATCATCTTTTTGTTATTTTTTTTTCTTAGTTTGATTTGAATGTTTAAACCTAATTTGATGATAATGTGAGACTTAATCGAAAATTAAATTATTTATGTAAGATAGTCTGATTTATTTATCTCTCTTTTGCTTATGTTGATGGATTTAAGTTGTTTATTTTATTCAGTTTTTAATGCTTTTAATTACCTGATCATCTATTTCATTGAATTAAAAATCTAAGTTAAACTTTGATGAAAGATATTTTGGTAGACCTTGAATAGAATAGCGTATGATCGAATACACTTAGTTGATTAGATAGTTTGATTTATATATATAATAGACATACACTTATAAGCTATTGTTGTTAAAATTAGAGTGCAAACTTAATAAATCTTTCAATTTAATTTGTATAGACATATGATAAATTAATTGTGAGAAATATTTTTATGAGAAACTTGATAGAGATTTATAAATAATTTAGGACTTTAGATTAGCAACTTGATCCATTAAGCTAAGTTAAAGGAGAGATAATATTCAGATGAAGTATGAGGGATATTATAATTTTAAGTCTAAAAGTCAATCAAATCTTAAAAAAGTAATTTTGCTAACTAAATTTAGATTAGTTTTAGTTTCTAAGTTTGATTTTATTTTACTTTTTAATTTTAATGTTTGGATAAAATTATGTGTGTAATTTTAGTAATTAATAGTAAAAATTAATTCAATTTCCTATGAGATCGACACTCTACTCATCATTATATTATCTTTGCAATACCTATATTTGCATTGATAAAAAATTGAACAATAAAAGTTCTTATCCAACATACCTTTGCCAACTCTTGTCCAAAACCTTAACAAACATGAATGGAGGATTTCCAATCTATTCCACCAAAAAAGTCTCAAACCAACTCCATGGAATAAACACATTTTACTCTTTCTTTCCTGTGATTTCCATGAATGAACCAGGGCATTTAGTAGTGGTATATATCTCTTCTCAACTTCAATGGACATAACAAAAATCATATTACATAATGAGTAAAAACTATCTTAGGCATATAAATCACATATCACCATTCTATTTATGAAATATCTTCCACATATACAAGTATCAAACACCATCTACTTAATGATTGTGTCAAACATAGTTATTATATCCTTCTCACTTTATATTTATCACCTTTTGAGATGTATATGAATATTTTATTCAATAACAAATATATGTATCTCTTATTTTAAAAAATAGAATTTTAATTTCCATTTCTCAATTTTTTTTTAAAAAAAGATATGACAAAATGAAAGATGAATGGCATTAATTACCTTTATAAGTAGGCATAATGAGAGACAGATTACATAGAATGTATCTTTAGTTATGTCATTATTGTTTTTAGGCATGAATTAATTAAGGTTCAATTTCAATAGTTGGAGCATTTAATATTTACTCTAGATGCCAACTACTAGTGCCAAAGGCTATATATGGAATTACAAATCAGCCAATATCTGCGCATTAATTTAGAAATTTAAGTTCTATTCCTATAAGAGGGGAAAAAAATAAAATGACAGTGAAGGGTACTGAAGCAATATTCTACTGTTTTTGTCCATAAAAAGGATATTTAATTAAGAAAACGACTTGAATATTGCATGAATGGGATTTTGACATGGGGCATCGGTTGAGAGAGGATTCTTTGCTGTTCAGCCAGAGTTGTTAGACTATATAAGGAGAGGTCCATGGATGTTGTAGGGCACAGACCTTTCTTCTTAACATCATTGCTTCTACTAGCACAGACAAAGCATTCCCTCTAAAGACAATAAATATTAACATGGCTAGGCTCTGTTGGCTTCCATTTGCATTCTTTCTCATCCTTGCATTGAGTTTTACTATTCAAACGGCAAATGTATGTTTCTCATTCTCATCTCTTCTTCTTTTATTACGCATGTATGCGTATACATATATTATATATTATAATATATATATATATATATATTAATTTGAACTATATATCGTATTTCAAATTTAAATATTTCTTCTTTGCAAGTGGAAATTGAATTCCCAATATAAACATTTCGAGAAAATTAAATGAACTCTCTCTGATTGTTTCATGTCCACAGGCTGGCAAGGAAGGATCACTTCACCTTGAAGGTAAAATGCCACGCAATCTTTCGCAAACTCCATTCGCTATTTCCTGACCATGTTTCTTAACGAAGCTTATAATTAAATCCGTGATTGTTCAGACTGTCCCAAGGCCTGCGATGTTCGGTGTTCGAAAACACATCACAGGAAGCCATGTTTGTTCTTCTGCGACTATTGCTGCAAGAGGTGTTTGTGCGTTCCCTCCGGTACGTATGGCAATAGGGAGGAATGTCCATGCTACAACAACATCAAAACCAAGGAAGGCAAGAATAAATGTCCATGAATAAGTTGAAAATGCTTTCGGAAGCTCTTTCATTTGACAGCCTTTGGTTTTTGCTCTTAAATCATAATATTGATGTTAGAATAAAGGTGCTGGATGGAAATATGGGTATTTGTCTTGCTATAGTAAAAATTTAAGTCTATCTTTTTCCTTTATGGGAAGTGTTCTTGATTTGCAAGTTTAAACCCTTACGGTCTCTAAAAGCCATCAACCTTACGGGGAATGTTCTTGACTGCTAGAAGGAATTGGGAGGCGATTTCCAACTTCATTTTACACGAAACGATCAAATCACCAATATGAGCAAATATACTCTCCTTATTAATATCTAAATCTTATTATATATATATATATATATATATATATATTTGGGCGACAGTGTATAAGGTTATTGACACATGTACATATGTATAAATAGTCACCAAAAATTTTAATTTGGTGTTAACAGTGGAAAGATATATAGGAAGGAACTAAAGCAAACTATCTTCAATTTCTTTTTCTTCCTTATGAAAGAGTGATTTTGTTTAAAAGAAACGTTGGGTAGTTGAATATTGTGAAATCAAATTTCACAAATAATATATGAAATCCGGCATTTATTAGTTAAGAAGATTGGTTGCTGTACACCCAATGTTATAAGATAAGTACATGAGCCTGTGGTCATGGAAGTCGCAGGGCAAGGCTCTCTGCTTTTAAGTTTCCTGCCTCCTCATTGATCCCATAAAACACGAAAATTAACATGGTTACCTTTTCTTGGCTTCCTATTTGAGTCTTTTCTCTTCATTTTGTATAACACACTATCATTATGTATTAAATTTTTTTTATATATTTTTATCTATCTATTATCTATCTATCTGTCTGTCTATCTGTCTATAAGTATATTTTTAAATATATACTATACATATATATTTTTAAAGATAAAATTTTAAAATTTAGATGAATGCACTTAAAATCAATGTTAGCGATGTGTGTTTTAAGATTTTTTTAATTTGATAAGAAACTAATGTTATAGCTTTTGTTTTGAAATGGGTTATGTATATATCTCTTTATAGATGTATGTTTTTGTTAATTAAATTTTTTTTTTCAATTAAATTCAAAACCACTTATTTGGGTTGTAATCAAAGTCATAATTTTTTTTTTTTAAAACAAAACACAAGCATTGCAAGTGCTTCTTTTTTTTCTCTTTGATTTGCGTCAAGATATCATATGACCATCATGCGTTTTCGAAATTTCCATAAAATTAAGCCAAATGGGCTTTTCTCATTTGTAAATTCTTAATCATGGGCCTAAGTCAGACAAGTTGCAAACTGGCAATATCCATGCCTTGGGGATTTTAGATACTTACGCAATATGACTAAAGAGGGGAAAACAAAACAATTTTTATTTGTTTGACCATATGTGATAAGTATTATAATTATCAAGAAATTTAAATATAGCATATTTAACCAGAGATATTTTATTGTTTTAAGTTGAATTAAGCTAAATATTCCTCTTAACTGCTAACTTGTCCTGTAACAAGATAAATCAATGTAAGTTAAAACTTTGTTAAGCTTTAGGTCTATAATAGCTAATATTCCTTTCAACCTAGAGCTATAGTCCTTTGTTTAATTTTATTATTTATTACTTAGTATTTCTTATTCCAATCCAATTAATGTTTTAATGTTTCAGTAGAAGATTAATTAATTATACTGAGCTTCGGAATTTCAAACTAAATTCCCTAATCTCTCTCTCTCTCTCTCTTTTCTAATCCTCTTATGGTAATATTGTTGGTACTCTCATGTCAGGTTATCTAGACTCTCTTATTCTATAAGTGACAATATTAACGTTGAAATGTTTGGCTTGCACATGAACTTATAAAAATTGCTCTTGTGAAACATTCATGTATAATTTTCGAATAAACAAACACAAAACAATTAAAAATAATCATAAGCTTACAAAAGAGGGAAAGTTCATGAGCATTAGGCAACGAGAGAAAGAAGTATTAGTTTAGGTTAGTGAAGGGGAAAGCATGATCATCGAGGCAGTGGTCCAGTAGTGTTGAGCTTATTCAATTGACGTGCCATCCACGCCGCTTTCCGAGCACGTTATATGTATATAGTTCCTATAAACAAAGCCCCCATTTCAAGGCCATGCGCCTCCATTCTCTCCGCCTTCAGTCTCCCTTGCCCTTTTCCCTCTCTTTTGTTTCTTTCTCAGCCCTTTTAAATATATATATATATATATAAACAGTAAGTTGGAGAATAGAGGTTTTTTTTTTTTTTTTCCTTTTTTAATAAAATCTTCGCAAACAGTTTGTTTTGCCATGTAACAACCTCCTAGCTAACCCTAAAAAACAATTGCACCCCAGACGAAAATAAATAAATAAAATAGGAGAAGAACAAGTCAAAGACATAAACAAAGTTGATTAAACACTTCTCCCCTTTGATGGAGTTGTTGGGGTTTGCTTATTGTATTGCGTAATGTATATGGTATTTATTGTAAGGAAACTTTTTGTCATTGGAAGCGACAGGGTTGGAGTAAACAAACTTATCCTAGGATTTTTTTTATATATATGCCAAAGGGGAATGAATATGCCTACATAAAAACAGCTAGAGTTCATACAAAGTACTAAACCTCACAGCTAATATTGATCCATTTCATGTGTGCCCATAAACATTTCTATTCTGCCAACGAGACTTTGTACATGGTTAGTAGAACGTCTTGGTATCTCTAAGTTCCATATTTAGATTCATTGTATGTAAAATTTGATTCAACTTTACATTGAATTTTTTCCAAATATAAGTATATATATATACACTAATGCATTGATTTTGTTTTTGATTTATTCGTTTGTAATTATACAGTTAATCAAATACATAGCATGTCTATTCTTCAATGTCAATTAATCCCATATTAAAAATAGAATAAAATTAATTTGTGGTCACCATTCCAGCACCACAAACATTTCGACACATGGAAAGGTCTAATTGGTCTGCCGCTCGCAGTTTTTAATCAGTTCCTTTCATCCATCCAATTAGTGTCTTAGATTCCATTGTCGGCCCCCATTAACGTTTGTCTGTTACAGCCATCATTAAACTAATCAAAATGATGATGAGAAGTGTAACGACACTGATAATCATGGATTGCTAAAATAAGCATGAAAAGTGCAATTCAATCCTACATAAGTTACTTGTGTTGGTGGAAGTCATGATGGTTACCATGAGGGAGGAGATAGGTAAGTACACCTTTGTTTTCCAAAGCACAGGATAAGGTTCTCTATTGTATCTTCTTCAGGGATTTGCTGGCTGTCTACGTATATGTGTCAAATCTTGATGTATATGGACATTGGCAAAAGCGATTGGCTATTATACGCATTTTAAATGATCTATCCAGAAGGCTTTTTGCTTACATTGTTAAATATGACTTGTCCACGTAAAAAACAGGGTCGGAGCCATTACCTTGATGGCTTAATCTTCAGCAGTAAAGAGCATTACAGAGGCAATGGATGGTAACGTGAATGATGATAATGATATGATGAAGGGGGATGATCATATATAAGTTTTTATAGATAGGCATATGGAGAGATTCTTCCTTAAAGATATATTCTCTGCCTACCTAGACAAGGTGTTATTTGAGATGGAGAGAAAAAGAGACAGAGTAAGTGGTGTATAACAAAAGAGAGAATCATTTGTACAAGAAGGATTCCATTTTGATGCTGTTGTTTTCACCTTTTTTGTACTAATTATTGTGTTTTTCTTATCAAAAGTTTGTGTGGATCATGTTAGGAATATCATTTTATCTGTGGGCTGTTTTAACAGGATTACAAGGCAAGGATTTTAGAGGAAAGAAAACGGTAATAACAAAACCTGAGTTGTTGAAAGCAAAAGGGAAGTTATTTAGTCAAAATACTAGGAGTAGTTGCACCAGACAAATGAAGATGTTACTTTGTGTTTTATGGTCAGCTGAAGCCCTCAAAAGAGCAATAGTTTATTGGTAATGTCATCAAACTTTAACCAAAAGGCTTTGAGGGTAGTTGTGAAGGTTGAGAAGCCAACATCCCAGAAACTGTTTACAAAGGACAAAAGTCTCTCTCTCTCTCTCTCTCTCTCTCTCTCATGCATCAGACCACAGGTGAAGAATATTCACAACATTATTATAAAAAAATTAAAAAAGGACTAGATCTGTTGCTTATGCAACGCACACCCAGTTGTACATATAGAGTTGAATTATTGTATTCTTTTGGGCTCTCTCATGTCTCTTTAGTCTTCAACTTTAAATAAAAAATTTTGCTGTTTGAGTTGGCAATTCCTGCAAGTTATTATACTTATCTATACGTCTATGACAGGGAACTCTTACGAGTGATGATCTTAATTTTGAAAACTTCTATATATCGTTCACAAAATTTAAGTTCCAGTTGAGACCAAACCATCTAGCTAGATAAGAAAAGGAACATCAAAGCAAACAGTTTACTCTTTGAGTCTTTGTCTTAGCTGAAATCATCCTCTGCTATTTCCACTATAAATGCTTTCTTATTTGTTTTCCACATAAAGAAGGAATAACTACAGATGAGCTACTTGATTTACTAAGTATATTAATTGACAACATTCACAGACACAACAAAAAGGAGGGAGACAAACACTGAGCCATCAGTTGCATTAGATAATAATTAAGTGAAGAACAAGCTGCCCAACAAGGCAAAATCTTTATCATCTATCAGGCCTCAAGATCCTTATCTTCCAGGTTGGGAAACAGGAACAGGTTTGGAAGAGACTGGAGAGGTTAGAAACAAGGAATGTCATAAGCACATCATGATTTGGTACTTAACACCGCGCCTGATTTGTCATCCACTGCTTGAGCAAGTCAGTTTCACATGCCAAGACCCTGATTTTCCTTTTTTTTTTTTTTTTCATTTTCAAAACTAAAGCAATAGTGATGTGTGCAGGGATGAGTTTTTATTCTATTTTACTTTCTTGTTTTGAGACCTGAAACACTGGAAGGAATAAAGAAACCTTGGCTTGACAAGGAGAAAA